ATCGGGTAACGCCCTGCCCCAGGACCCTCTCCCGCTGCCGGGCGGAGGGACCGTGGGGGCTCGGCCCTTCCCTGCCCGGGTGGCTGTGCTCTCCGGGGGGGTCTGGCCCCGGGCAGGCCGAACCCAGGCCCTCCACGCACACGGAGGCCTAGCGACACCCTCCCAGCCCCTTTCTGTGGGGGTCTTCTGGGCATCCTCCTCCGTTAAGACCCGCTCTCCCAGCCCCGCTGCCCAGCAGGAGGGAAGGGAGACCCTGTGGACCAGACTGCTCTGGTCAAAACAGCCAGGAGCATCCAAATTCCCTGTTTTTCATATGGAGAAAAATAAATGCACAACTGTGGTCGTTTTTTTCTTTTCCAGCTAACTCTGTTGTGTTTTGTTTTTTTTTTTAACCTAGGCTTGCTGGTGAATTTAGCAGTGAAAAGGGCCACGCGTTTGTTGAACAACTTCACAAAGTGAGTGTTAATGAAAATCCTCACCCAGTGCCGTCACTTCATCTGTGCTATTGAAACGTATTCTTAAACTCTTTAATTTTAGACACAGTGATCCCGCTGACACGCAGGAATTTAATAAACTTAGTATTAAAACAAATAAATACTAGACTGACCCTTGATTACTCTCTTAAGAAATGAATTTCTTTAACCAAGAAGGAAACTGGTAGATCGAGTGATGAGCAGACAAACATATCTCTAGATTTATTCAAACCTGTTACTGTACATGGTTACGGACACAAAGTCTTGTTGTCACGCAGCCTCAGATTTGAAATTGGGGCAAAGTAACCATGTGGGCATGATGGTGGGAGACAGGTCCCACCGGGGCAGTCTGTGAGTTTTGCTAATCAGCTTCGTTGTGCACAAGAACGCAGAAGGAGCTAATTGGAGACTTTAAAAAGCTTTGCCAGGCTGCCTCTCGACTATCCTGGGCTGTGGAGAGGTGCCCCTCTTGGCAGCGGACGTGACATCAAGGCAGTGCCATCTGCAGCTGTTTGCCACTGCCTTTCTTCCAGAGGTTACTGGTTCGCTGTCCTACCAGCAAAGGGATTATGTGAGCGCTCCCCAGTCTGCTTTCTGCAAAGTCAGCCAGGGTGGTTTAATGTGCCAGTGAAAACAAGTACATGCACTAATCTGGCTTCTCATAAAGCAATTAGGGAGCACTTATCTGATCCCCCCTGCCAGCAGGCTGGGGGATGATGAACAACAAGGGTAGGATCTTCTTTAATCAGCACAACCAGCTGTCGCCTCCCAGAGCTTGCTGCAGTTGTACCGGAGCATCAAAGGCTGGTTAATGAAAGCACTTCTTATTTTTGTCCTGATTGCCACATCTAGGTCCAGTGTATGCTGCAGGATGTGGGCTCCAACATCGCGACGCCTCTCTCCTCAGCCAGGGAGGCTCACTTAAGTAAGCCCCACAGTACCTTTCCTGGGATAACAGTTCTTGAATCACAGCTGTCCTAGACTGGCGCTGGGGAGGCTGTTCCGGTATGTGGTCTTTAGAGCTGTCCGAGGGCTGCTCTGTGGTGTGCGGCTGGTGCTGAAGTGGCACAGGGTCCCACGGGCTGCTGCCTTTGCCCCCTCGAGTGATGGAAGCTGGCCTGGGGCACTGCCCCGGTGCCCAGCCACAGCTGCTGAGTGGGGAGCCAGCCCTGCTCTAGCAGGAGAATTTTTTGGGGATGCTTCCTTAGGACTTGCTAGTCCAAGAAAGACTAAAGTAGAGCGCTCTCTGTAGGCTGAATGACTTCTGCAGTTCTTCTGATTGATTCTTCTTTTCCCTCTGTAGAACGAACCTCTTTTAGTCAGAAGCCAGTTCTGGAGCTGGAGCAGTGGATTGACAGCTACTCAGAGCAGCTTCCTCCGCTCCGAGCCTTCATCTTGCCAGTAGGTGCTGCTTACGCCTCTCGAGGGCTGGTTGTGCTAGGGTAAATCTGCTCAACCACTTGCTGTGGGAAGACAGGTCGTGAGGCCATTATTTGCATGGACAAATACCAAAAGAAAAGCAGAGAGAAGTACCCGGTTGAGTTAAATTTCGGCGTCCTACTGCATTTGGGTATCTCTTCCCAATTGCCCAGCCGTAACAGAGGGTCCAGTCGCATGTGTGGGCGAGACACGATAAGCTTTGCTGCAGTTATACAATAAGGTGGATGGCTCTATCTGTTGTTAGCAGGCATTGATGCACTGTTTCATTGTTGTTTCAGTCAGGAGGTAAAAGCAGTGCTGCTCTCCATTTTTCCCGAGCTGTCTGCCGCAGAGCTGAAAGGTGGTGAGTGTTGGCTGTAGTGTAACTGAATAAAATTGATAAAAGGTGATCAGAATGCTACAACGATAGCAAATCGTTGCATTCGGAGCAATCAACCGTAGCTGTATTGCGCTCGGCTAGAGCTTGAGTCAAGCTCCGTATGTTTGTATTAGTCAAATTCCAGGAGTGCAGTCAGCAAAAAGCAAGTCTCTCTTCCCTCCCTTGAACTGGGTCACCCGAGCTAAGAACTTCAGAAAGAACAGACAGGTTTATGTTGAGATGCATCTACGTGTTCAGCTCGCATCTGGTTTGCTAACTCGATTTTGTAGGCTAGCACACGTGGAGGCTGGGGCACTGGCAGGTGTGAGATCCAGGGAAGCTTTAAGATGTTAATACCCACAGCTGCCTTGTCCCACTTCGCTGTTGGAGATTAAAGCTCCCCCTGGTAAGGTCCTAGGAGAAAACTCCTGTCTGTTCATTATGGAAATCACTTCCACACGAAATCTCGTGCGTTAGCCTGAACCTGCCCATCGCAATTCTGAGTTGCTGGGGGTTCTTGACTGAAGCTGCTGATGTGCAGGAAGATGTTTCTGTGGATGTGCTCTGCTGCGAGGATGGCTGCTCTGGCAAGATATACTGGAGCAGCGTGATCTTCAAAAAACTAACGTCACAGTCAGTGGTTTTGTCAAAAGAAAGCTAGAATGAGGGCTGTACGCCGGTCAGGAGGCAAGGAACAGCTCTGTTTCCTCAACAAAAGAAAGGTCCCTGTTTACCTGCAGAGAGAATGATCCTTCGAGGTATTAATCACCAGCAGACTGCTCCACTGCTCAGTGATAGCCACTGATGAGCAGCCTTTAGAGTGGAGCTGCAGCTCTCCAGAACAGTTACAGAAATTAATTGCTTTGTGTAGCCACCACAGGGTCTCCTTGAGGGAGTAACCAGTGCCCACACTGCGCTGTGGGGAGTTAGGACAGGGGCTCCAGGCGGGGTCGGGGCGTGCGGGTTGGTGTTCCAGCAAATCGCAGTCATTTGTGTGTTCGGAGCTAGAAAGTTAAGCACACTAAAAGTTTCCTTTTCTTGTTCTAGCGTGGTTCCTCTAGTACAAGCAGGGGAAGCAGATCCAAATGTGGCCAAATATTTAAACAGGTAAATAAAATAAAATCCCAGACTCCGTACTCGTAAGCGTGCCTGGTGTTGTTCCCTGAGGCTTGGGATAAACCGGCGGGTTTTACCTCTCAAGAAGCTTCCCTTCTAGAATAAGATCTTTGAAGTTTCAACGAGCAGCTTGTTAGAAAGCATTGTTGCAAGGGTGCAGAGTGTGTTTAGAGACACTGCTGGGGCGCTGAGGGAGCGGTTGCTCAACTTTCTTATTGAAGGCCAGCGTGGAAATCACTTCTCGCGTGGTCTCTCTCTGCCTTCCTCTGCCTGCAGTTCTTGTGCTTTGCTGTGGAGTTGTGCGTTGCTGGGTACAACCCCACCTGCTGTGAGAAGTGGGTTCACTGCTTTTCCCTTGGTTTCCAGACTGAGCGACTATCTCTTCGTTTTGGCACGTTACGCTGCAATGAAGGAAGGGAAGGAAGAGAAAATATATGTAAAGCCTGAACCGTAACTGGGAGCTGGAACGGTTGTTTTCTTGATCATGGGAAGCTAAATCCAGCAGGCTGCTTTCCCCCATC